ATACCATAAAATATAATATAACAAGTTCCGGGAGAATCAATAAATGAGAGTATAAGCGAGGATAATCATAGGGGGAAGGACGAATTAATACCACGTATATAGGCACTATTTCGTCGAATCTTTATTTAGATTTTAGATAAGATTTCAAAAGATCGTCAACGACGATATTATTAAGTCTTTTATATTCAATCGTATCGACTTATATTTTCTTAGTTGCCGAGTGCATAAGCCCAAAAAAGTTTAAAATTTATAAATTCAGCTGCTAAGTTTGATATCGTATAGATCCAATACGTATATATATATATATATATATATATTCTGCGAAAATGCATCAACTGAGATCCTCGGATATTTACAAATTGAGATATGCTATTTGTGGTCTACTGATCAACGGATGCTTGCGAAGTTATAAAGTCTATGAAGATCCCAAAATCAAATAAATTTCGACCGCCATAGCAGCAAGCCCTCGGAAGCCGGTGATGCTGCTTCCGATCAGCGGGATGAGCTTGCTTTGCAAGCATCCCGAGATCCTGCTCGGCTCCATGCTGTGGCCCCGTGGCTCAGCATGGCATGGAGGATAAATTAGAAACTTCCTGTCCGAGCCTCTGGCCAACTGCTAGAAGTTCTCGGCCAATTGCAGGCCTGTTCACCCGCAACGCAAGCGTTTTCACTCCGTTTCGTGAAGTTTCTGGAAAGGCTGCTTCAAGCCAGCGCCGGCACTGGGGGCCACCCTGACTCCTGGTGGAATCTGTTGGGGTACCGTTCCCTGCAGTTGCCAACCTGGCTGTTGGTTCTGTGCCGGCCACGTAGGGGCCATCTGAGGCACTTGCATCTCCCAGGTAGGGTTACTGGGCTGCATCTGGCCTGGGTAACCAGGGTAACCATGGTCCGTGGCGCCCATGAAGCCCGTCTCCTGCATGCGTGCACTGGCGGCTTCCTTTCGGGCCCTCTTCTTCTCTTCCACCCTCTGCTGGGCACGCAGGTACCATCTCCGCAGCAAGCAACAGACTAGAGCCAGCAAGACCAAAGAGCAGGGGATGGCCACCGCCATGAGCACCGGCTGCCGATGACAAGACCACCAGTCGGCCCCCAGCTCAGGAGATCCGAGGCGGTGCCGAAGAGTGGCCTCGTTCATCCGCCGTGCCAAGTCTGTCACGCTGGACCTCCCGATTCCAGGGTAGTCAATAGCGACGGCATGGAGAGAATGGCCCAACGTAAGTAGCTCTTGGTGCACAACCTCCAGGGGCGAGATGTATCCCAGACATCCGCATGAGAATTCTGGGCACGTCTCCTCCGCCTTGTACTTGTGAGGCTGAGCGTCGTCTTGAACGAGGTCCTTGTTGTACCTTCTGGACAGGGTCTTGATACAAGAGAGCTCCAACTCATCGACCATGATCTCTGCCTCCTTGATCTGGCAAAACACATCTTTGCACTGGTTGAACTTCGCTGGGCTGGGTAACTTGGGAGCTCCAATCACGTTGAAGGCCAGCACGGCCTCCGGCAGCACGTTCTTCTCACCTCGGCCGTACTTCTGAAAGTCGGCCAAGAGGCTCTCAGAGGTTGCGCCTGGGTTCACGAACGGGTCGTAGCTGTTGTTCACCCACTCCTTCCAGTAGAAATCCCACACGACGACCCTGAGATTGCTCTCCACAAGATGCCCCAGAGTGATGTTCTCGTTGGGCCTCCCCTGCACCTACAAGTAGCTGCTTCTTCGACCGCCCGCAGACATTACAAAGCCAGCGGCTCACTAGGAGTCTGACAACCCAAAAAGGTCTTCCATAAGGACTGAGCTGCAAGGATGCATGAAGCTTGATCCCTGCGCGACCATGCGGAGGCATTCGTGGTCGCAGTAACATGGAGGCACGCGCCCGCCTCGCCGAAGTGATTGCCCATGAGCGCTTCCCACTGCGAAGCGGCATTCGAGCCAATCCTTGATTACAGCTGTCCTGGAGTAGATGGAATATGGGATATGTACGGAGTATATAATTGGTCTCCACATTCCATCTACTTCAGGGTGGCTGTGGGTGCTGGTCGTTTCTACATCTGAGCCCCCACACAACCAAATATGCTTTACAGGGCCTATTGCTCCCCCTCTCAGGGCGCTCCGTTTTCAGGTGCTACGGAAAACCAATCCTTGAAGCTGATTCCAAGTCGCTTTAGGTTGCCAGGCCACATGATGACGACCTCCTCGGAGTTTGTTCTCAGCCAGCCGGTGAATGTCTCGAGGCTGTTCGTGAACGGCTTGCCGTAGGCGGGCGGAACGCCATGGCAATTGAAGAGGACACCCGGCTCCGTCTCCTTGGAGCATAGGTCCAAGTTGAAGGCCCTGATGCCAAAGTCCAGCTGCTCCCTGAAGTTCTTGTCATGGTTCTCATAGACGCACTTCAGAGCATCGTTCACATCGACCCCTGGCACGTTTGCGTCTATGAGGTCAGGGATGTCCAGCGAGAAGGCCCCAGCATTGTGTGTTGCAGCAAAGGTGACCTGGGTTCACAAATCCCTTCTGACACCCTGCTGAACTTAACATACACATGTATGTGTGTGTATATATATATATATACATATACAAATAGACACCACCTATATTATACACACATACATCCACAGTTCATATACATGTACAGGCATGTTTGTTTTGCACTGATTACGCATGTTGCTTCCTAGGTAGACGCCCGCCTGCGTCAGGGGCAGATCACAAAACCCAGAGTTGCCATTGCAGGCGCTGGCGGTGCCAAAGGAGGCGGACAGTCCCAGCACCAAAAGTGCTGCCACAAGTCCCATGGCAATTGCCCTAAACCCGGCCGGAACTGCAAAGCTTGAATAACAACGCCGTGGTGTGGTCCCGATGTGAGTCTGGAGAGCATCGCAGGGGTCTGGGGGAGCAGTGAAGTCCATGCAGCCGGGGTGTCATGGGATAGTCCACAGAGGATTTAAGGGTCTTGCGGCATACTCCATGTGGGGTTGAGATGGTTGGTGGGAAGCTGGGGTTGAGTTGTTGAAAGCCGTAGTCCGTAATCTGCACTGTGGTTGGATCGAAGTGGTAGATCTAAACAAGAGAACGGGAACAGTTCCTACAGCGCCAGTTCGTCAGCAAAATTGGTACTGACCCTACACTCGTCACTAGTACGCAAGCAGTAAATTCGGAAGCCAATCCAATTCCGGTTGGATCTTTCGACAACACAGAAGTCTACTTTTCAAGCAGGCATGAATGCTTGCAGAAAAGAGGGCAAACCACGGGATAGGCCAATAGGCGATGTACGGACCTCATTTGAATTCTGATCTCTTGTTGGCCGCTGCCACTGTCAGTGTTCCAGGTCATTGCTGGAAGCACCGGCAGACATTATCTGGGAAGCTTGCTCTTAATCCAGAAAGAAAACTCGTGAGGAAATATCGGAGACGAGCCATCTCACTCCTTCCAGAAGCCCCTGGGCAAGGGGGGACTTGGAGCATCTTGCCATCGTGCGCACGGGAGTCCCCTCAAGGCCTCGCCCGTGTAGGCGGAGCAAGCCAGGATGCACCTAGTTGCGCAAGAGATGCTCAGGCAACAGGGAAGATTCGCAGATTGCCATCAGCTCACCAGTGCCGCCGTTTGATCTCTTCGAGCTGGAGGAAATCTCGAATCTCCGGAGCAGTCCTAACGGGACTGTGGACCCGGGCGAAACTTGCTCTTTGATGCTACCTTTAACTTCAGAGCTGCTCACATAGCTCCGGGTAGATCTTGCTTGTTCGCGAAGATCAGCAATGTGGCCCCTGCCGCTCTCAGCTACGAGTCTGAGTAGGCAACACTAGGCAACAGCTCACAAGTGCAGAGATGTCAAGGGCGTCTCCTGCTAAGCGCTCCTCCTGCAGGAGCCGGTCCTGAAGTCAGGTGACTGCGTTGTAACCGCTGGCAACACCCAGACTTTTTGCTTTGATCTCTCGGTGACCGGCCAACTCTTGCTTGCAATCCTGTGCAAGAGTCGCTCCAGCTTCTGATGTTATGATAGATTAGAAACAAGTGCTTCGAAGGCAGGTGAAAAGCCCCATCCTCCAAGCGCTGTCGATCTGCGGAGTCAACGACCTGAATCCAGCGGAAGGTCAGCAGCAGCGTTGGCAGATCTGGATGGCACTGTGCACTAGGCCCGATGCCCACACGAGGCCATCGGTTGCCTCAAAATAATTCCTCCAGCATGCAGGCACCAGCTCTGCACTGAAGTGTGCTGCGAGAGAGACACAGCCGCTTCCTCCAATAGCTTCGTATCGTCTTCTGTCCACCAATGTCCCAAATATTGAGCTTGTAGCCCTCGTACCTGTTCTAGCTGCTTCTAGCTCATGCTCGGGTGCTGAACATGCACAGTCTCAGTCTGCATCCAGGACGCTCGAGGGTCTTGATGTTGAAGCCGAGAGTCGGCGAAATGGTGTCCACAGGTTCACCATTGAACCTCCGCATAAGTTTCTCCTAGACTAAGGCAAAAAGCGAAGATGAGAAAGCAGGAAGATGAGCTTCAGCTGAGGTGTCGACTTCTTTAGAATAGTAGTTTTGCCTACAGTGCTCAGGGCTGGTAGGATTCCATTTGGGCAACCTCAGTGCTCCCATGGCCTGCATTGTCCAGGCCAAGCATAAGAAGGCGAACTTCCTGAATATCGGCACTTGCTCTGTGCACATGTAGTGTACAGTTGGTGAAGCAGAAGTCTGCAGCTTGAAAGTAGGGCTTGGCACGTGCGAGCCAGCATGGAGTTTTGATCCGTGGTCAAGAAACAAGGCCGATGCCTTCTCTTCCTGCTTCATCTTCCTCACAGTCATCAAGACATGGGCTGCAATGCCACTACCTCTGATGGACAGGGAAAGACCTGAGGATCTTCATCAGCCCCATGGCGGCGGCAAAGAGCTGGGACTACGGGATTTCTTCCTTGGGAAACCTCCCCCGCGCGCAACAAACAGCTATGGGTTCCAAGGTGTCTCTGGTCAGCTTTCTTTCTCTGCCATTGGAAGAAGGGAAGCTCTCTACCTGCATTTTTTCATGGCAAGGTCATTCCGCCGTTTCATTCTGCTGCTTGCTACAGATCTTTGAGGATTGTCTTGATCTGAAATGAAGGCATCATGAAGAAAAGCAGTGCTTCGGCCCGAAGGAGCCTTTGGCATGTGAAGCCGCACGTAGCACTGCAGGCAGCTTTGTTCTTGCAAACGTCTTCAAGCGGCCAGCGGCTTCGCCTCCCTTTGAGCTTCCTTGCCACTACCATTGCTACCCTGCGTGTCATATGTCTACTTGACTGCCAGCTTGAGCTCCTGCATCAACTCGGAGGCCCGCTTGCGGCCAAGGGCCCTGGAGAGCCCCGTCTGAACGTGCTGATTGGGGCAGAGACCCTCAGCAACCGCCTCGCGGAAAAGGCTCTCTGCCCTTTCAGGCTCTTTTGGTCTGGCTGTCGCGTATGCCAGCAACTGTGCATAAATGAAGTAGTCGTTTGGGCGGCAACCGCTTGCTCGCAGTTCCTCCCCCAGTCCTTCCACTTGCTGCCAATGGCCTCTGTACGCAAAGGGCCGGGCTAGTGCAGAATAGGTGACAACATGCGGCGCAATGCCTCTGGCCTGCATTCTTTTGAATACAGCCATGGCCCTTTCGCAATCACCCGCTTTGCCACAAGCATCAATCACGCTGCTGTAGACAATAGCGTCGCTCTGGAGGCCTGCATCCTCAAGTTTCTGCAGCCACTGTTCCGCTTGATCGGCCTTGCCTGCCTTGGCGCAGGCGTTGATGACTGCGCTGTAGCTTCTCAGGTTCGGTCGGATTCCGAACTCCACCATCCGGGAATGCCAATACTCAGCCCGCTGCAAGTTACATGCCTTCGCACAGGCATTGATCACTGCACCGAAGGAGATGACATTCGGCTCGATGCCAAAGCCAATCATCTCAGTCATCCATTTCTCCGCCTTCTCCAAATCACCTGCCTTTGCTGCAGCATCGATCAAGGAAGCGTAGGTGGTCACGGTGGCTTCCAAGCCTCGGCTTCGCATTTCCTCCAGCCAAGCCTCGGCCGCCGAGATCCGGCCCTTCACCGAGCAGGCGTGGATCAGCGAGTTGTAGCTGATGCTGTCGGGTTCAATGCCCCTTTGCAGCATTTCTCGTTGCCATTTGCTTGCAGAGGTCTCATCCCCACCTCGCGCGAAGGCATGCACCACCGTGGCAAAGCTAATGACGTTGGCCTGAAGGCCCTTGTCCAGCATGCGCTGCAACCAAAACTCGCTTTCCTTGGCTTTGCCTGCCTTGGCACATGCATCCAGCACGGTGTTGTAGCTGCACACCGTAGACTTGACGCCCTGCTTCTCCATGTGAGTTAACCATCGTCCCGCTGACTGGTAATGGCCCTCCTTGGCATATGCCCGGATGACGAGGTTGTAGCTGAGGGTGTCTGGAAAGCCGTGCGAGGCTTCAAAATCCAGCACCAGCTTCTCCAGTACTGCTGCAGCCTTCTCTGAGGACGATGCCCGGCCCAGCTGGTAGTTTAAAGTCTGTTGGGCGGATTTCAACGGTTTGGTGGGGCTGCTGGGAGCTTCTGCTTCAGACCGGTCCGGCCGGCTCTCTTGGCTCTTCTTAGCTTTCGATGCTTTTGGCGCTCTGGTCCTCAGGTAGAAAGCCTGGCAGCCACCAGCCAAAAGAAGACCACCCACTATCCAATCTGCGCTCCCGAACCTCACATTTGGAGACTCCCTGCCAGCGAAGAATGCATAGTCCGCAAGGAAGACTGTCAGGACTAGCCCAAGAAGAACAGCCGCACGGACAAAGGTATCCTTGCTGGAAGTTTCTGAAGTTTTCTCACTATCGGACTTTCCCATGAGCGAAGGCGCTCAGAGCGGATATGAAGGATCGGTATCGAAATCCGTGGGGTTCCGGATGCTATCTTGCAACTGCATCCAATGGATGCTTGAGCCCATGGCAAAGAACATTGATGTGACGCATGCGCCAGCTGGTCTGGCAAGGAGCCCGCGCATCCTGTTTCTCCGGGGCGTCTTCTTTCGGACAGTTTTCTCAGTTCAGGCATACAGACCACAAAGCTTCTGCCTCGGATCCCACCAGGAGAGAGAACGGAGCAGTGGCTTCCCGCAGCGGCACCTCATGCTGGATAAACGCGGTTTTTCCACCGCATATGTCAATTTCGCTTCCATGTGGCGACAGGCTCCAGCGCGTTGATATCCACTCGCTTCTGTCGTTGCAGGTATGAGAGCTCAAAACTTCTGCGACCGCTTTGGTGCCATTTGCACCTTGCCACCACAACCTCACCACTGCTTCGGTGATGAGCTGGACGGCGAACTCCATGGACAACTCAGCGGCCACGAAGCGAAGCTGAAACCTAGTGGATGTGGTGTCGATGCTGAGCACCAACGGAGCAGACACTTTCCCGAGCCTTGTCTCGTGGTATCTGGGGACGCCCTGCGACAGCTTGGTGGCAAAGGTGTGGCACAACGCGGATCCGCGCCGCATGACATAATTCAATCCTCTCTGCCTGGCAAGTGATTCTCATCGGTAACCAGGGCTAACAGTGCAGTAGAAAAAGCAAGCTGGGAGCTACACTCGTCTGGCCTGGCCTGGCGAGTTCGTAAAGTTGCTCCTCGCTCTTCTCCCTGAGCTCCGTCTCGCGCGACTCGCTGCCCCACCACCTGGAAGTCGGAGTCTCCGTGCCCTCGGAGCCAGGCAGAGAGTCTGCTATAGGTCCCACGTGAGCCTGCAGCAGCTGCCGCAACCCTGGCCATTTCTTCAGATCGCCAGCAACATGAACCAGAGCAGCCGGCTCTCCACACGTGCAGC